ACAAGATGATTGATCTTCCCCAAGTGCAAGCAGGTAAAACTCTTTTATATGTGTACAATCAATTGGTATACAAGCCACAGTAGTGTTCATCCCATACTGCACTGTTTTCTCACATAACTTGCGTATACCACTACCAACATATAATCAAACACTTCTATCACTTGAGCCTCCTTTGGCCATATTCAAGAAGCCTTTCGAATGATGCCAAAGCCGTCAGTATTATTCAAGCTCTGAATCGAATCTGCCAAGTCAAAGACAAGACCGTCTTCATTCATGTTGGAAAGCAGATATGGTTTTTTTGGGGGGTTTTTTTTTAAAAGAAAAAAAATTCAAATGTGGGTATAGCTACATTGCAAACTCATAATGTAAAGTCTTCGCTATATATCTTGATTTAACTATCGCACAAGAATCATCGTTCGTGGGTATCTTGAAAAATCAAAACCAAAATCCAAAACGCTGCAAAACATACCAACGCCAAGAAAGAAGATGGGCCTTGGACTCGACTGTCCTTCATCAAACTCCAAAATCCATCGGACATCCCCAACTCACTGAAGAACAGAAAAGACTGACTGAGGCCATTATCGCTCCTGACAACTTCCACCACTCAGCTTGTTGGGTCAGGGGCCATCAGCAGACCTTGCTGACCAGCCTCCTGCAGCGCAACATACCACCGGTTTGCCATGAGTGCATAGCCCACGTCATTGGGATGCGTGACATCCGCCATGGTGGTGATGTTGGGTCCGCCAGCAGCGGTCGTCATGTCGGCCAGGACGACTCGCTTGCCGTCCGCCTTGAGTGCCGCAGCAACGTCACGGAACTGTGCATTGGCATCATTCACGCGTGTGTTGACGGCGTCCTGTTTGTTGAGAATGAGCGTACTCATGATGACGGTAGTGTTGGGCGACCACTCCAGTAGATCATTGACCAGGATGCGCATCCGGTCGCCAACGTCAAATGTCGAATTGGTCGTCAGGGAGGGCTCGACTGTGGACTTTTGGGTGGTGTTGTCCATGTTCCAGTTTTGCACGCAGTCGTTGGTGCCGACGTTGAGCAAGATGACATTGGGCAGGTAGCGAGGCACGGCGGCTGCGGCCTTGGCCATGACCTGGTCGATGCGATAGCCAGGCCAGCCCTCAACGGCGTTCTCGTCCATGGTGCCATTGTTGCGGCTGCCGACATAGCTGATCTGCGTGTTGCCGCCGCGTTCAAGCAAATCCAGCAGGTCCTCTCGGTAGCCGTTGCCGTCGGTTGACAGGAAGCCGTAGGTGATGCTGGCGCCAAGAGGCATGATACGAAGAGCCGTGTCGTTTGCAACCTTGTGCTTTGCTTGTTGGGTGACAACCGGAACCACAATAGCTGGAGGTGGTGTCAGCCATTGACGCTCATTGCCAGCAAGAGCGAATATATCGTTGCTTACCTGGAATCAGAGCCATGCTCAAAATGACCAGCCCTACCAAGGCAAAGATCCTCTGTTTGCGCGTCCACGTCTTTGGGTTGAGGGCAGCGAATCTGGAAGAGGCCTGAGGCTGCGAGACGGCCGACTTTTCGAGATCGTGAGAAGTCAAGGACGACCCATGAGACAGTGAACTCTGGGTTGTAGACAGGTTGGGAGACGGCGGCTGAGGACCGCTTGCGCGGCTGGATGTGTCCATTGGTATGATTGTTGCGGACGTGAAAAGCGTGAGTGTGTTGAGTGTGATCAAGTCTACACCTGCAATTCGAGGCCGAGTTGAGGACCAAGAGGTAAGAAATTGTGGTCCAATTTGGGACAAAGTTGTGATGATTGGAGGACTTGTTTCCACACCAGTGGTGACGGTCTCGATCCGGTAGTGGCTGCACAACGAAATCCAATCTGACAAATCGATGCTGAGCGGCTAGAAGGGCTGCCAACCAAAGTATAACGGCAGACTAGAAGGATGGAAGGCCGCAAAGCAAAAAAGACAATGCCAGTAGTAATCCAGTCAACGGAGCCTCAGGCCGTGTATACAAGAGCCAAAGCAAAGGACAGGACGCCAAGAGGAGGAAGGAGGTGTGAAGAGACGAGGGCCGCCATGAAGAAAAGAAACGAAAAGGGCTGGTGTTCCTTGAGGAGGAGGCAACGACATGATGTGTCGAGGCCAGGTACCCAAGAACCGAATGAATTCCAGGCACTGGTGCAGTCTCGAAACGGCCAAAGGTGCCAGCAGCGAGCGAGGCGCAGGGTTCCGCCAGGTGGGGGGGGGGCAGGGAGGAACGTGGGCGTGGTTTAAGGTTTCCAGGGCCTGCTTGTGCCGAAAGGCTTGGCCTCTGTCTCTATTTCGTATCATGTGTCATTCAAGGCGCATATGGTGTCAATTTACATCTTGGGACAGCAAAAGGACGGTAGTGTAAATAAGTAGCCAGGTACTTCAGACTGCTGGGGCCCAGCGAAGCAGTAAGCCAACAGCTGGGGTTCGCACGTTGCCGTCTTACCTGCATTCCACAGCCTCCAGGCTGCACCACGGCAACAGTCCTCCTTCGAGTGCTTAGTACCCAGTCCAGGCGGAGCAGACAGAAGATGAGCACACTCTCCGTTCACAACTGACGTTGATTCACCGATGCCCAGGTCGCCGATCCCCTGACGGCCATATCGACTCCATGGCATGGCATCTGAGAGCCAGGTGAAACGCTCCGTGGAAACGTGCATAACAATCATCATCAGGCTGAGAACAAGCACCTCAGTACCTGATCGAGGTGCCCATGTGCGCGGCAAGGCCACGCATGGCCTATTCAGGCTTAGCACCCGCTCCCCTGCCACGCCGTGTGAGGTACGTACTGTGGTCGTACTTGCTGATGCTGACGCTCCTGCAGCCTTGATTCTGAGCCGCCCATCGTAGGCGAGGGCTGGCCACTAGGCTACATACTATAGTAGCAGTTTCTGAATCGTGCCCTTGCATGCAGCTGGAGCAGACCCTCGCGCGCCATCACGAGAGTATTATTTGATGACTTGCAGAACGCAAGGAGACCCACGGGTGCCCAAAGCGGACCGGACTGGACTGGACCGGACTACACGAAAGTGTAAACAGAGCGAGGGACGAGGCTGTGTTGGCTGTCTGCCACGTCGAGACTGCTTGGTCATCTCATCAGTCAGCGACGGTAACATGGCCAAATTTGGAATGGGACTTGTTGGAGAAGGGAGCCTGCTTGTGAAAACGGGGCAGTCAATATCGAGACTGGACGTGACTCCCGACAGTCAAGCCCAAGGCAAACATCACACTGCCAAGCATCCGATCACTCGAGGGAAAACACTCACCAGATTCATCAACAAGAACAGGTGCCGAAGACCCGAAATTCCCGACTGCCTGGTGCAGGGACGGCAGAGCGGGTAGGCAAATGCCAAGAAAAACCTGTTCTTAGGATTCTGGTCTTGATCGTCCGCTTTTTTTGCCATTTCCAACCGCGGGTTCAGCTGCACGAACATTTGTGGGAAAGGAAAGGCCCCATGGGGGGAGGGGGAATCTTCCCAGCCCGTCCACACTGTCCAGAAGGAGGTGGGTGGAGGCTTTATTATGTCAGCAGAGCAGGACCCCGGCTCGATACAGGGGTATTCCCTGCTATCCGCTACGACGTCCCAAAAATAGTGGCACGGCGCAGCCCAGTGGCTCTACTTAGTACTTCTACTACGTATGCAGTCAACTAGTACGATGCGATTGCTTGTCAGGGTCAGGGAAGGCCAAGTCAGCTGGCACCTACACAGTCCTCGGTATGTTGTCGTCTTTCTGTTCAAGCTTCCTCAGATTCATGATTCCGCGTCTGCACCGCTGCAGAGCACGCATTCACAGCACTCCAGGGGCATTCCGTCGTCTTTTGCGACTTTCAAATCTCGGGAACTCGGCACTGGCATCCTGTCAACTTCAGGAAGAGCCGGGAAATCAAGGTAACTAACCACCACCAACAGCAGCAACAACAACAACGGTAGCAAACAGCAACGGTACTGTGTAGTATAAAACCCCAGTGAGTGACTGCATACGCAATCTCTGCTCTCCATGTCAACATGGTGGTATCTACGTAGCGGGAATGCCACCACACCACGGTCAGTTCACCACTCTTACACAGAAACCAGCCCGTTTGCGTCATGATATCCAGAACACCACGAAACAAGGGCCCTCGTCTCTTTTTCTTTTCTTTTTTGGCCTTTGCTCGCTGCCGAACGCCTGGAAGTGACGGAATCCAAAAACGACCCAAACGTCACGTCACTGCCAGCACTCTAGCGCAAGAGGCCCAAGCTGAGCATTCGAAACGTGTTCGAGCAACTAACGGCTATGGGACTAGCTTCCGCGCACCAAGTATCGAGGAGGACCCCCCTTTTTTTGTTTTGTTATTACTTCGAGGAAAGATAGGCAGTGGGATTGTCCTTGGAATACCGCGATGCGATGCGATGCGATGCGATGCTTTGCGATGCGATGCTTGTCACACACAGCATGATGTGACACAATAAATACCCGCTCCGAGACGAGCCGGGAGCTACTTGGTCGATCATTTTGGTTGCTCAGAGGGGGCGGGCTCAAGTTTCTGGGTCTGCCCAAGGACGGTATTTCTGGGCCACGAGCACCGGGGACTGGGAAGCGCAAGACCTTGCTTGATCTTGATATCATGGTGATCTGCAGTTGCTACGTGACGACAGAGGCCCAATCTAGCAGCTCATTGGCATTGACTGACCATTCCATTCGAGTCCAGCTCGATGCTACTGAAGTAAAAGACACTGACAGCATGTTCTTTGAACGTCATAGGCCGATTCAATTGCCATCGCCATTGATGGTGGCTGGTATCGGCAAAAGAAGCCGCACCACACAATAACGTCCGTCCTCTCCCCGAGCCTAAGATCACCACCAAGAAAGAAACGCAGAAACAGTTGTTAAAAAACCAAACCAAAACAAAATTAAAATTGAAAAGCTTAACGCAGACCTCGAAATCCAGCGTCAACTGAAACCAAAAAAAAAGAACAAAAAACACTGCTTGTCAACCCGAGAAGATCAGACGATCTCCGATACGGGGAATCGAACCCCGAGCTCGGCAGAACCTTTATTTGATTTGGAGCCAAACATGAGAGTGCCGGATGTTAGCCATTACACCATATCGGATTGTGCTTGGACGGCTTTTTCGGCTGGTTTATATCCTTGATACTCGCGACACACTCACTTGTCGTAGATGGGAGTCTGCAGGTTTTGTTGTAGATTGATTGCGTTCAAAGGTTGTTTGTGTCTCGGAGAATTGTGCGAGGGGAGTCAAAGCGAGATGGCTGTGAAATTTCTGCAGTCTAGAATTAAAACGACACATCAAGACTGGCGGCGTATCTCGAGGATACTGGCCTTGAGCAGCGAGCATTTTGTATGATGAATGCTACATAGTAGATGTCCAGGTAGATACCTGAGGACTTGGGATGTTTCCGAGGTTCAGCGGTCCTTTGTTCTTTCATCAATGTCCCTCGTGTATCAACAACCACTCTTCCACTCGAGCCACAAGTACAAAACAGACACGAAGGGAAAACCCCAACTGGGACACTGAATGTGACTGGCCAAGATACCTAGGTACCATAGTACCTGTCGATCCTCAAACGCCAAGGCTGTGACACCAACTGTTTGAGCCAGCGCTTGTCGTACCCGAAACCGCTCCTGACTTGGTCCTCTACAACGCCAACACCAACACCAACGACAAACGCTGCAGCTAACAAACATCGACGACTCCTTGATACAATAACAAGGTACAGAAGACCCATTCATCTCCCTCAAAGCTTGCGTCTTGTCTCCAAGAGGCTCTATCACAGCAGTAATCACCATCTCGCATTGCATCACGTACGCCGCCAACACCCCCCCTCAAAACATGCGCTGTCCGTTTGGTCGGCACGAATGAGGGACCCTGAGCCAAGAAGCGTGATGCTTCTTTTGTCCAGATTTCAACTATTTGTCACAAACCTATCATCGACAGAGAAGGCTCTTCTTTGTTTTTCCCCCCTTGTTCGCTGGTCTTTGCTACGCTGCTGTGCCAGCCACACTGTCACTGGCACGTCCTAAAACAGCCAGTCATCACTCTTGCGCCGAGTGATGGGCATTTTCCACAATCTGTTCTGGCCGAATTGGAGCATGCGAGCGGCGCCATGCGTACCACACGGATCGACGGAGGGCTCACGAGACTCGGACTCGGACTTGGACTCGAAATGTGACCCCGCCTGTGACTGTGCTCGCGTGAGAATGCCAGATGCCCGATCTTCAAAATCATTGTCGCTGCTGGTGTCTTGGTCGGCGTGACCATTGTCAGAATTGTCGGTCAAGTCTTCCATAGCAGCTAGAAGCTCAGACTGTCGAAGCCGCTTCGTGGGGTGGGATGAGTTCTGCTGGCACTGCATAGCTCTTGACGATGCTCGATGTGAGTCAACGATATTTTGGACAGACTGTTTCCGCTTGTGTGTTATGCCTGGGGTTGGGCTGCGACTGACGTCGAGCGTGACGCTGCTCTCGCGAGACTCGGACTCGATGCTAGGCCACACTTTGACGGTGAAGCTTGCTGGAGGCGGTGCCGGCGATGACTTTGGCCACGAGTCAAAGAGCGTGCTTCTGGGAGATGTCTCGAAGATCGAGCTGGCACCATGGCCATCATCAGGGCCATCATCAGGGCCATCAGCACCATCACGACCACCTCCTACGATGATCACGCTGGCAAGATCATCGCCGTCGTCTTGATGGTCACCACTGTCACATTCACCAACACCAGCTGAAACGTCCAAGTGCTGCAACTCGAATGTGGCCTGTCGTACAGCTCTGGGCGTTTCTTGTACATTGTCGGCCTGTTCCTGGTCTGACTCGTCGCTTATAACGAGTACAGCACGACGCGTCGTGCGTTTGCTCGTGCTGGTCCTGGTACTGGCAGTGGCCGCCCTAGGCCGAGAGGAGCTCTCGCCTGGTTTGTGGATCTGTGACTCGCGACTCTGTCTCAGCGCCAATTCGAAAGCCTCGTCTTCATTGAATGCACCGTTGTAGTCCTCCAAGATGATGAAATCGTCGTCGTCGTCGCCTGCTTCCGCATCAATCTGCTGAGCTGGCTCAATAGATGGCTCTCGAGATGGCAAGCGCTCTGGCACCTCTTGCAAGGGCGGCGAGACCTCTCGCAATGACGGCGAGATACGTCTAGCATCGGCCAGGAGGTGCTCGGCTCGATCCAGCTCATCCAACCAAGCACGCAAATGCTCGTAAATCACCTTGACGACGGACGGCGGGAAGGCATTTCCAACCTGCTTCCTGATCACGGTCTGGGCAGTGCCTAGAAACTGATAGGTGATTGGAAATCCCTGCAGACACGCGAGCTCTCGCACCGTGTACGCTCTCTTGCCGCTGTAGTGGTACTTTTTCTCTGCGCCGCCGCAGGTGATTGTGCGCGCCAAGGGCAAGTTCGGGTCGTGGGCCGGTACGTTGACTGGGAACGCTCCGTCAACGTCGTGGAGTGTGGCTCTGCGTGGGATGTTGCCAATGGCTTGCGCCTCTGTCATGTATGGTTTGAGTCCTTGTCCTCGTGCTGCCATGGCGTGTGCTCGCGCACGTCCAGTGACATTGCCGTGGGTGGCCGGTGGGAAAGTGGGAAGTTTCTCGCCGGGGCACGAACAGATCATGACGAGTCGGCGGCGGATCTGCGGCAAGCCGTACTCGAGGAAGCGGACGATTTTCCTGTTGCTCAGCCGGTCTGGGTTAACCACCATTTGTGCTTTCAGTTCTGTGGCAGACAGACAGACAAGAACAATACCAGCCACCGACCCAGTCATGTACAGCGGAAGGAGAGCGAATGCTACTTACCACCGCACCGAAAAGTTTCGCCGCGTGTAGCTCTGCAGCAGGGCATGGAAAAAGCCGACATGTGCCTCGTGCGTGATACCGTAGGTCTGCTCGAGGGTGGCCAGGCGCGGACGGAGCTTGTCAATGACTTCCGAGGAGAACAGAGCCGCGATATTGCGCTCGTCGTTGCGCCCAGCTCTTGTGTGCGCCGGTGAGTATGGCTGGCATGGCGGCGAAATGTGCAGCACGTCGACATGCGTCTTGTGACGAAGTTTGTGGTGGATGAAGGAGGTGACGTCTTGCTCAAAGACGGCCGCCTGTGGGAAGTTCTCGCGGTAGGTCTTGCATGCTGGTTCCCAGTTGTCGACGGCGATGACGGGCTATATCACGCGCATTGCCATGTGAGCCAAGATGGCTCCAAGGGTCAGAAGGGAGTCATTGGAACAGAAAGCATACCTCGAAACCGGCCATCCTGGCACCACACGACGTTCCACCCGCACCGCAAAAGATATCCACCATGGTCCGCTTGGCTCCAGCAGGCCGCTGCCCTCGAGCACCACCGCGCCATTGCTCGCGCCGCCGTCGATCCGACGTTTGGAAAATCCCGCTCGAGGCATCCTCTGCAGACAGATGGATCAGCGCGCCGCCGCACTTGCGACCAGCGTCTCTGTCCCGCCGAGTTCGATACTCGACCTTTAGGATCCAGCGACACGTCAGTGGGGCGGCCTCCTCCCTCACCCGCGCCGTCTTGGACCACCAGGCCTCGGAGCCGCCGTAACGGCAGTGCGGGAAGTGTCGGTTGGTTTTGTACAGCTGTCTGACGGCCAGGATGTCGTCCGGACGGATGTTGCGCATTGCTTGTTCTTTTTCCACTGCGGCGTCGTTATCGTCGTCGTCGTTGCTGCTGCTGTTGGTTTTGTCGTCGTGGACGACTTCAATGACTTGGCAGACTTCATTGCGCTTGCATTCGAACTGGCCGCCAGCGTTGCGAGTGCGCGTGTAGGGAATCCCGCGCAGAATGTAGTCCGAGGTAGCCTCGTCCAGCCAGATGTCGCAAATCTCGAGGAAACTGCTCTGGAACTCGCCGAGGGTGTAACTGAGCTCGACAAAATCACGCACACCGACCTGTAGCCCGCCGCCGTCGAATGGGAGGTGTGGCAGGGAGTTGTGGACGGGTCGAGTGCTGGTGCTGGCTGCTACGGCGCTACTGTCGTACTCATCATGGTCGAGACCATCTTCGCCATCCTCGTCAGTGAGATCGATTTGCTCGATTTCCTCGAGACCGTCGAGGTCGAACTCGTCTTCCTCGAGGTCTTTGATGATTTGCACGTTCTGCTGCGAGGGGCTGCCGTGGATGCCGTGGATGCTGCGGCGTGGGAGGGGCGGGAAGACGCACTCCAAGTCCGCATTGTTGCGGGCCTGGTCTGGAGTGGCGGGTCTCATGTTTGGGTGGTTTGGGAGGCCGGCTGTAATGGGTTTGTGTTGATTTTGGTTTTGTGGTTGCTGATGAGGCGACTTGGGAGAGCTGTGGAAGGCTGCTGTTGAGGTGTGTCAGAAGTTGGTGATCGTATCGCGAGTAGTAGGTGAAAGTGTAGCGAGAGGACAAGGTGAAGTAGGGGAAGGGATCGGAGGGGAGACAGGAGAGACAGGAGAGTGGCAGACTGTGCAACTTGGGAGGGTGAGCTACCACGCAGCTCGCAATGGCGGTGGTGAGATATCTATAGTCGATAGACGTTAAGGTGATGGAATCATGTCGTGTATGGTTCGAGATCCCAAAGACACCTGCCTACCTTTACACGCTTCTTTTTGACGTTACCACAAAGACGGCGGGACGTCAACAAGACGGCGGTCAAAAAGAAAGGGAAATCTCAAGCTAATATTCGAGATCACTTAGCTCGCACGCCACACGTTCAGCCCGAGCCTCGCGCTGAGATACACCAGTCGACAGACGTGGGACCAGACGTAGCCTGGTAGAACGAACGGCTTCGGCCAGGATGTGGTGAAGAAGACGATGAAGAAGAAGAAGAAGAAGATGATGATGATGAAGAATGAAAGTGTTTCTTGAATAGGCTGAGCATGTGTGAATGATGGGTCATGCACAACGAGCTGCTGGTTCAGCAGGTGAATAGAGGGAGGCCGGTGTCCAAGAGTTGATAGAGGAGGTGAGGAGGTGAAGAAGACAGAGGAGGGATGGGAGAAGGAGAGAGTGTAGCTATTTATGAACTTCAGAGCCCTCATCGACGGCTATATGAGATATCTGCTCGACGAACAGCTTGAGCCTCGCCTGTACATGGGCGAGGAATATGGTATATTTCACCGCTTCAGCTAGGTAGGCATCACTTACCACGTGGACAGACTGGGACAGATCACCATGCCGTCGTCCAGATCAGACTTGTGTTGATGAAAGCTGGGTGTCAGGGTGAGTGAGGGATGTGATATAATACAACCCAGCCTCTTCCACTCCCATTTGCCGAAGATGAGCTCCATTATCCTGGGAACTTGGATTCAAAAGCAAGCCAGTACAGGTATTCACCACTATCTTGACCTGGGTAACGCAAACTAGCATCTTAGCAAGACACAGTTCTTTGATTTGTATACGAGATATACAGAACAAGTCAGGATCCGAGAAAGGTTACCAGACTAGTTCATCGAGAGGTGAAGTATCATATGGATGGCACCTTTGAACTGTGCATTGACTCACGGGACAGAGTTGTGTAAATGAGTGCTGGATGAACTTGTGCAGGCGGACTGACCAGAGGGGAAGCAAACGATGAGTTAGTGTATTTACTACCGAGTCGTTGGCGATTCTTGTCGTGGATTTCTCTCTCTAAGCTCTCTTTCATATAACCTATAATTCCTCTAAAGCAGAACGCTGCAGAGGAATATATTCGGCTAATCGACATAGTCTCTTGTTGTTGCTCAACTTTGTTCTCTCAAGGTAGATAGACACATCAGATATACAGCCTGGCTATATCTCCCCACCAGTCTTCCAAGAATAGACCAAAAAGAAGAGTCATGAACATCTCATACCCCAGCTCGGCACGCTCTAACCAAATCAACTCGATTCCTTCGATATACCAGCTTCTTGGGCATGAAGCCCAAGCAAGCAAGCCAGCCACATTTCTCTTACTATGCTACCTCCCAGCCTGCTTATCACCCGATGCAGAACATCCAGATTTCACAAAAGACGATAGATGAATACCCAAGCCAAATGGTCATCTCCCCCGACACCATATGTATTAGAGCAACCCTCTAGGGATTCAAACCAACGAATTAGATTCAAGCTCGAACATGTCTACACCCGAACATGTCTAATGGGTTATCCAAATTCCCACACACCTCACCAGTACATCCAAGTTCTGCAATCCAACTCAACCCAGCCCACTCCACCAAAACAAATATATGCCACCTCACCTGTACAAAAAAACATTGTTTCCAAACGGAGCTTCTGTAACAAGGGTCCCTTACACCTAACAAAATCACGCCGGCTTGGCCAAGCGGTAAGGCGTCGCACTCGTAATGCGAAGATCTGCGGTTCGAGTCCGCAAGTCGGCAATTTTGCTCGTTTCTTTTTTGATGGGGAGAATGAGGAGTTTCTGATTCATCCTTTTTGGCGTAACACTACATATATATATATATATATATATCCTCTTTTCCTATAGCCGTTCCGTTGTTGGTGTCTATTAGTTGTTATCGAGTCATCCGTCTTGGCGTTGAATAACTACACGCTACTACATGCTACTACTACATGCTATCAGAATGGACAGGATCTACGCGTACCATACGGTAATTCTAACTAGTTAAATTATAACCAAACGGACTGGTTCGGAAACAAGGGCTATATTCCTTTTGTATATATATATAATGTAAACGTTATTAAAAACTGTCTTATACTTATAGTAAAAGATGTATATAGTATATACATGCGAGAACTAAGTAGAAGCAACTTTCTTCCAAAAGCGTTTGCATATTCCCATCTCTATATCTCTCTCTACCCGTTAAGCCTATCAGTCTATATAACGGGTGCTCGTATGAGCCGGTCAGCTAGCCGCTTAGCCTTGTGGCTAATGAATCACTTGCTACTTGTTACTTGTTACTTATAACCTACTACTCGCTTACCTACTAGTATCGATCCCTCCTACTCTTACTTATCCCACCGACCCGTTCACCCTTTACGGAAGCGGGATCTCTAGCCGGAATAGTAAGCAATACCTCATGCACACAGCCGGGGTACATATATAGGAAGATGTAAATGGCATGAAAAAGCAACATTTGTTAAAGCATAGCAAAACAAGGCAGAGCACGGCAAGCCTGATGGAGCAAGGTCAAGCAAAAGAAAGGCAGGAGGGTAGTTGTATCACATCGTATCATTTTATAATAGCAAGTACTTTATGCAGCAGTACTCCAGTGCTTGGTATAGCACGGATTAGCTGATGAGGCCAGTACGCACATATATACTAGGGTAGCCGCAGACCAAACTACTATGCATACCATACCAAATCAGCTTCATCCACAACCACAACCTCAGTCTACACCCCAGACTCCCGCTCGAACCACTCTAGAACGGCAGATTTCATCGACAGAATTCAGACGCCCTGCAAACGAATCCCAAAGTTGACTGGCTAATGATATGCGCTTGACCTGTTTCTCTTTCGTTTGCGGGTAGGAGGGGACTTTGCAAAGACCAGGTAACGGCTTGGTTGAGTTGGCTCTGCTAGTGCAGGTGATGTAAAGAGGATTTTATTATATAAAACGGGTCGTGACGTGACGTGACCAAGGATGAGCCTCGGTTTCTCATGAGGATAACGCAAGGCACGCATCTACCGCTAATCCAACTCTGTTGCAGACATTCAATATCAGAATGTTAGCCCCATGCCCAAACGAATTCCCAATCACTTCTTGTGAAAGGAACATGGGAACGGAAGGAGGAAGAAAAGACAAAAAAAAAAGGGATTCAAGCATACCGTCCTTCCTTCTGATACACCACATCACTAATGATGTCCTTGTCCAAATCTGGGAACATACCCGCGAGCGTTTCAACAATATTCGCATGCTCCGCACGATGCAGCCGCTGTGCTTCCGCAACCTCTGCACTGGCCTGCCGTGCTGCCGCTTCTTCGGCCGAGTACTTACTGCCGTTGCCGCTCTGCTGCTGGTGAGCACCCGCGCCTCCTCTTCCATAGCCACCGGGAGGTACAGGTGTATGGGCAGGGCTCCGGCTGCTGCTCGCTTGGGCAGCGGCATCTCCACTACCGCCGTCGTCGGAAAACATGCGGCCAATGGTTGACAGGGGTTTCTGAATAGTGCGGAGCAAGCCAGCAATGGCGGCTTTTTCGTCGTAATCGCCGCTGTCGTCATTGGATGAAGTCGACTGGTGTGGAGAGGAGGACTGGTTGCCGTCGTCTGCGGGCCTTTGCTGGTGATGGCGTTCTATGGACTGTCTGGCTGAGGACGGCTCGCCTGTGCCTGCGCCCATGATTGACGGTCGTGGTGATTTCTCAGAAGTGGAGGTGCTGGGCGGTGATTCGAGGCGGTGTTTCTCTGCAATGGCGGAGACGGCGGCCTCAACATTCTTTTCAAACTCTTCGTCCGTGATTGTGAGGGTGGTGCGGTCCATGTTCTCGATGAATTGCAGGGCTCCCATCTGAGGCATGTCCTGTTAGTCTGCGAATCGAGGCAGGCAAGGCTCACAAGGCTTACCAAGGAAGATAGATAGTAACCGGCCTCTCCACCTAGTTTGTCTTGGTTTCGGAATCGAAGAATGTATTGAACGTTGGAGACAATGTGTTCGGGGTTCGCTTGGAGGGTGACGTAGATGAGCAATGGCATGAAGGAGTCGGCAGAGGAGTCTGATTTTGAGTGTTTGAGCAGTCCTATACGATTGTGAGCTTGCATACCCTTCCCACGATCCTGGTGTTGTAAGAAATCATACCGAAAATGACCTTGCAGCAGTTGAGAATACAGATAATCTTGTCTCGCGGCGCGCGGTAAGACTTTATCTTGAGAAGTTCTAAGAGCCGGTTAGCCGGGTGTCACTCGTGTTTGTTGCATCAAGACAGAGACATGGTCTGACCTTGCTGTGCGAGTTTGAGAAAGCGCTTCCCACTCTCACCGACCGTCGGAATATCGAGATGCTCCTCTCTGACCCACCCGTAAATCTGAATCTTTTGGGCCACCACCTCATCACGCTCCACGTCTTCTTGGTGCTGTCCCCGCCGCCCTGGGCCCATGGGCCGCTCGCCGCCCCTTCGTCTTGGCTTACCCCCTGGGATCGGCTGCGGCGGAGGAATAGCAGGTGAAAAGGTCTGCGCATACAGCCGGTTCATGACGAGCTTTTCCATGCCTTCGCGCGCATTGTCAAACTCGGCGTCTGACACGTCCTTCCACACATCACACAGCGCCATTTTATTGGCGATAAAAGCAAGAAAGTCGCTGATGATCTTGACTTGCTCGTGGACCATCCATTGCCGCTTTGCAAACTCATTCAGAAACGACCGCAGGTACTTGGCCACAGGGTCCGCCTTCTTGTTGCGCAGCTGCTCCAAGAAGCGGTGGAAGTCGAACGGCAGCGCAGACTCGGGCTCTGGTTCCGGTGGAGGCGGTCTATGCAGCGAGACGGTGGGCGACATGGGCGAGCCAAGATCACGATCGTCCTTGATCAAGTGGCTCGTCCTGTTGGACAGGATGGAAGGGTCCTTGGGAGGTACTGGTGGTCCCTGGTCTTCAAGATCCTTGCCTTTGTTGTCCAAGTCGGCTGGAGACTCAGGTTCCAAGCGCAAGCTCTGCAGTTGCTGGGTAAAGGCCGGTCCGACGGGCTCGAGACTAGACTTCCGTGGAGCCTTGGGAGAAAACGGAGAAGCAATTTCCAGGCGCGGACTCATGACCTCCTCTTCACCTGGGCCTCCACCGCCCTCCTTGAATTGGGCCATGATGTGTTGTATCTCGGAGCCGTCATGCTCACGTTCATCCTCGCTGATGTTACGTCTCTCGTCGTCTGAGCGGCCTGGAAGGGATTCTAGGGAGAGTCGAGGGCGGTCGGTCGCGCTGGAAGGGGTTCTGGAGGGCGGCTGAGAAGTCCAGGGGGTGGCCGGCGTAGGGTCAACGTAGGGTTTGGACTCGATGTTTGTGTACTGCGTGGCAGTCGTGGTCATGGGCGTCGAGGGCTTGAGGGTGGCGGTCGACGAGCCCAGCAGGTCGAGAGCTTGCTGGTCGGAGCTCGGTTGCGCCGCGCCAGGCCCGAGGTCGAGTGGCTCTGGTCTGTGAGCCTGCTTCTGCTTCTCGTACGCCGCAGGCTGCTGGGGCTCTGGGTCGAATGCCATCAGGTCATCGGGGCCACCGGCGTCAGCCACAAGGGGGCGTGGCTCCATGACGGTCAGGGTGTCATGGCCGAGCGACGACGACGGCGACGACGACGGCGACGACGAGGCAGGGTCTGAACTTGGCTCCATTGAGCTCTTCACCGCGCTGGCTGCAGTGTGTGGCTCATGGTACGGTCGGCCAGTCGAGTGGGATTTGTCTGCGGTGTGGAACGGAGGAGACATGCATGGAGCTGGTCTGGAACGGAGCCTCGGTTTGTTTTCTTTCTTGGAGCCCTACGACTGCCAGTCTGCGCCGTTGGTGCCTGATTCGCCAGCCTCACGGGCCAGGTTGGAGAGGAGGACAGGGCTGTCGCGCGAGAGGACGGTCGAAGGGAGAAAACGGCCAGAAGTTGTTGGGCCAACTCTGGGGGATTTGTTAGGGTGTTTGTTGGGTTGGGCTTGCAGAAAGTATGCTGGGCAACTGGCAATGAAGGCGTGGCGCCTTCCCCGATGACACAGTTACGGTCACGCCAAGGCGAATCAGCTGGCACTGGGTGCTGGACCAAGGCGGGGCTGCCAGCTGATCCGAGCACGCTACAGGGGGGCACTGTGGTACACGAGTACTTGCGGCTCAAGCATCACTACGTAGTAAAGTGACGTCCAGCGCGGCCAGCGTGCTACCCCGCGCTAGGGTCTTGCCGAGCAGCGTTCAGGTGCTATGGCAGCAGCTGGATGCCCTGTCAGCCTGCTATCCTCTCGCTGGGCCAGATCCTGCTAGTTGGGGCACTATTAACGCGAGATGGAAGCGCTGACTGAGGGCTACGCTGTGGGTACACTGAGGTGTACACGCTCAAGTCTTGATAGAAGAATACTATACACACCCTCTAGCATTTGATGGGGGTGCGGTTGCTTCTGGCTTCTCGTTACCTGCAACTACAATACAAATCAAACTGGCCAAACTGGTCAAACTGGTCAAACTGGTCAAACTGGTCAAACTGGTCAAACTGGTCAAACTGG